TGTCTTCGGACCCCCGTGTGGTGCGGTTGCTGGACGAGTTCGCTGATATCTTCGAGTCACCTACCGGTGTGGTGCCGGATCGGCCGATCTCTCACAAGATCATTCTTGAGGCCGGTGCTGTGCCGCCGAAAGGTTGCATCTATCGGATGAGCGAGGAGGAGCTTGAGGTACTCCGCGCACAACTCGATGATTTGTTGGCCAAAGGCTGGATCCGCCCGAGCAGCTCCCCATATGGAGCACCTGTTCTCTTCGTCAGGAAGAAGATCAAGGATCTACGATTGTGTATCGACTACCGCAAGCTCAACGCGCAAACCATCAAGAATGCGGGGCCTCTTCCTCGCATCGACGATCTTCTCGAGCGACTGGGCGGCGCGAAGTACTTTTCCAAGTTATATTTGAAATCGGGATATCATCAAATCTCGATCCAGCCACACCATCTACAAGACCACGTTCAAAACACGGTACGGGCATTTTGAGTGGGTGGTCATGCCTTTTGACCTCACCAACGCCCCGCCGACGTTCCAAACGGCGATGACCAACGAGTTCTGTGCAATGTTGGACCGGTTCGTGCTGGTCTACTTACAATATTCTCGTCTACAGCCGGTCATTGGAGGATCATCTGGGGCACCTTCGACGAGTGTTGGAGACGCTCCGCCGCGCCAGGTACAAGGCCAACCGCGACAAGTGTGAATTTCCCCGGCAGGAGCTGGAATACTTGGGCCATTTTGTCACATTGGAGGGCATCAATCCGCTATCGGACAAGATTCAAGCCGCCCAGGAGTGGCCGGAGCCTCGGAACGTCACGGAAGTTCGCTCGTTCCTTGGTCTTACCGGCTACTATCAGCACTTCATCGAAGGCTACTCCAAGATCGCGGCCCACTTGAACAAGCTTCAGTGTGAGGATTATCCGTTTGACTTTGGAGAGGAGGCGCGGGGATCATTCCTCACTCTCAAAGCCGCGCTATTGTCTGCGGAGGTCTTGCGAATCTACGACCCGCTCGCACCTACGCATGTCACTACGGATGCGTCAGGATATGGCATTGGTGCAGTCCTCGAGCAACATGATGGTGTGGACTGGCACCCGGTCGAGTACTTCAGCAAGAAAGTGCCCCTCGTGCATTCCATCGACGATGCACGCAAGAAGGAGCTCCTCGCCTTCATCCACGCGCTCAAGCGGTGCCGACACTTCCTCCTTGGTCGAAGCCAATTTCGCTGGGTAACGGACAACAATCCGTTGGTCTTCTACAAGACCCAGGACACCGTCAACAGCACCATCGCTCGATGGATGGCTTTCATCGACCAGTTCGACTTCTTTCCCGATCACATTCCCGGGAAGTCTAACCGTTTTGCGGATGCTCTTTCACGGCGTCCGGATCATTGTACCACGGTCTACTCAACTTTCGAGATTGACGACGACCTGCGGAACAGCTTCATCCACGGCTACCAAGCCGACCCCGAGTTTCGCGACAAGTACACGAATTGCTCCTCGCCTAATCCGTCTCCTTCTCACTACCGGATCCAGGAGGGGTACTTGCTTGTCCACACGCGGGGGAAGGACCTTCTTTGCGTACCAAGTGATCCTCACTTGCGTACACGGCTTCTTGGCGAGTTCCACGATGCTCCCGCCACTKGACACTTCGGGGTCAAYCGCACGATTGGSCGACTTCGCCAGCGATTTTGGTGGCCTGGCCTTCTCAGCGACGTCACGCGCTATTGCGAGTCYTGCGAGGTTTGCCGACGCTGCAAATCCCGCAACCATCGTCCGTACGGCGAGCTACGATCATTGCCGGTCCCGTTGAGGCGAAGGGAAGCGATTGCCATGGACATTACCGGC